AGCAAGTGCTGTCACTGTGGGAAAAATAATCACTGCCAATCAGCTTGTTTCTTCAAGAATGCAATTTGTCATCAGTGTAAACAAAAGGGTCACATCAGCACAGTATGCAATAAGAAGAATGAAAAGGTACCAAATAAACAATCAAATAAACAAGTTTTTAACGAGGTTTTTAATCATTTTTTGACTGGTGAAGACGAACATAATTTTTCGGATTCAGATTCTGATATTATAGGAATGTATAATGTTAGAGAAAAAAATTAAAAACCTATAAAAATTGACATAAAAATAAATAATAAAAATATTTTAATGGAATGCGATACGGGTTCGCCCATTTCAGCTATTTCTGAAAAATTATATTTTAAAGAATTTAATAAAATTTCTCTAAATAGTTCAGATTTAGATTTTAAATCTTACGCAGGAAATATTTTAGAAATCTTAGGTTTTATTTGGGTTAATGTTAATTACAAATTGTTAAATAAAAAGTTGAAAATTTTTGTAATTAAAAATGGAGGTCCACCTTTATTAGGTAGAAATGGGATCAAAGAATTAAATATATCGGTCGATAAATTACTAAATATTAATCATATTGACAAAATTGATTCTACACAGGTTTCTAAAATTTTGCAAAATAAATATCATGAAGTTTTTGAAAATAAATTAGGAAAATTTAATGTGAGTAAAGTCACATTGTATTTAAAAGAAAACTCTATTCCTGTTTTTTGTAAAGCTCGAAGTTTACCTTTAGCTTTAAAACAAAAAGTTGAAAAGGAATTAATAAATCTAGTTGAAAGCGGTATTCTGACACCTGTCGATTTTACTGATTGGGCAACACCTATTGTTCCAGTGCTTAAAAAACAGGTGAAGTTCGAATTTGTGGTGATTATAAAATAACACTAAATCCAAATATTCATGTAGACAAATATCCTATACCAAAAATTGAACAATTGTTTACAATTTTAAATGGTGGTAAATATTTTACTAAAATAGATTTATCTAGGGCTTATGCACAAATTGAGTTAGATGAATCATCTAAAAAAATAACTACATTAAACACCCATAAAGGTTTATTTCAAATGAATCGGTTGCCTTATTGGGGGTATCTTCTAGTCCCGGAATTTTTCAAAGAATTATTGAAACTTTATTTTCAGGGTTAGATCATGTTATTACTTTTTTAGATGATATTTTAATTTCAGGTAAATCAGAACAAGAGCACTTAGAAAATTTCTTTAAAGTTTTTGATAAATTGAAAACAGCTGGATTAACAATTCAACTTAATAAATGTAACTTTTTTCAAAAGGAAGTAAATTTTTTAGGGTATACAATTAGTGAAAACGGTCTTTCTACGTCAAAAGAAAAAATTGAAGCTATTTTATATGCCCCTACACCTAAAAATGTTACCGAATTAAAGTCCTTTCTTGGTCTAATTAATTTTTACGGGAAATTTATTAGTAATTTAAGTAGTAAATTGTATCCATTGTACGCGCTTTTAAAAAAGAATATGAAGTGGTATTGGGGAGACAAAGAGATTCAATGTTTTGAATTAATAAAAAAAGAATTAGCTTCACCTAAATTATTAGTTCATTATGATCATAAACTACCTATCTTTTTAGCTTGTGATGCTAGCGCGTACGGTCTTGGGGGTGTTTTTAATCATGTATACGAAACTGGAGATAAACGACCAATTGCGTATGCCTCACGGACACTTTCGGACGCGGAAAAATCTTATAGTCAAATTGATAAAGAAGGCGCCGCGATAATTTTCTGTTTAAAAAATTTCATGATTATTTATATGGTAGGCCATTCACATTACTTTGCGATCATAGCTTTATAATGCTTATTAGTTAATATTTTCGGCAAGAAAAAAGGCATTCCGGTTTATGCTGCTAGTCGTTTACAGAGATGGAGTATTATTTTAAGTACGTATTTATATGATATTAAATATATTTCGGCAGAAAAAAATCCGTCTGATGCTTTATTGCGACTTCCTTTAAAAAACACCAAAGAAAATAAATTTGATTAATCGCATATTTTTTATTTGGAGGAGAATTTGCCTATAGACTATAAAAAATTACATCTTTTACAAAAAAAGATCCTATTTTAAATAAAATTTACGGTTATTGTTTACAGGGGTGGCCTGAAAAGTTAGAAGTTAAAGATGAATTTAAAAATTATTATTTTAAACAGTTACATTTAGAACATGGTTGTATACTATGGGGATATCGTGTTATAGTTCCAATTAAATTACGTAATCTTTTATTAAAAGAATTGCACAAAACCCATATGGGTATTATTAAATGTAAAGCTATTGCAAGGTCTTATTTTTGGTGGCCAAAAATAGATAAAGATATCGAAGAAATGTGTCGTAATTGTTTTACTTGTACGTTATTCTTAAATAACCCCGGCAGAAGTCAAATCCAACCTTGGCCTTTAGAAAATGCACCTTGGGGTAGAATTCATTTAGATTTTATGGGTCCAATTTTTGGAAATAAGTATTTATTAGTAATATATTCTTATAGCAAATGGCCGGAAGTATTTAAACGTAATCGCAGTGATGCAAACAACGTAATTAAATTATTACAAAAAATATTTGCACGTTTTGGATTACCTCGTAAAATAGTTTCAGATAACGGTCCTCCTTTTGCATCGCGTGAATTTTCTCATTTTTTACAGCAAAATGGAATTAGACAATTACTTGCAACCCCAAAACATCCTCAAAGTAATGGGCAAGTAGAAAATTTAGTTAAAACTTTTAAATTAGCACTTAAAAAGGCAGTATCAGAAAATAGAAATTGTGATACAGCACTTACTGAATTTCTCTTTGATTATAGGAATACACCACACGCCCTCACTAACAAAAGCCCCGCAGAATTAATGTTTAACAGACGCTTACGATGTAAATTAGATTTATTAATACCTAAAAATCAAGAGATTATATCAGATAAAATTCAAAAACGAGTATAAAAATAGTAGTGTTATAAATTTTAATTTAGGTGATAAGATTTTATTAAGAGACTTTAAAAATCCTGAACATCCTACCTGGACACCAGGCAGAGTTATTGCGCAAGAGGGATAGGTAATTTATAAAGTCAAATCTAACGATGATAGAGAATTTAGACGGCATTCGAATCAGCTTAGGCCTTCTCTCAGTTCTTTTAGAACAGAACCTGTAGAAAGCGAACATGTTGAAACAAATATTACAAATAATGAATCTTTAATGCCTACTACCTATAATTCACAAAATAATTCACAAAATAAAAGTTCTCCTGATTCAACCCTACCTTCTAGCTCTGGGTATAATTTACGACCTAGATTAAATAATAAGACTTAGTTTAAGTTTAAATTTTGTATTTGTATTAGAATAATTATTATATTATAAGTTATGTAATTATATTTATGTAACTAAATATTTTTTTAAGGGGAGAAAAGTGTAATATATTTGAATATTACTTATTGTAGAATAAATGATGAAATCAAATTGTTAGTTTCTAAGTGTAAAATACCTTATTTATATATTAAGGAATGTGGTTTGATAGTTTATAAATATATGTAAAACTAGAGAATAAAAACTTCACTTCGCAGTTGGCTTTCGTTATATTATTAAATATATCTAAATTAATAAATATATAAATTATAAAATCTAAGTACTTTACAATGACTAGGCGTCGACAAAAAATGCACATTTTCTATTATGCCCTCTGCCCCAAGTATTGTAGAGTTTAGTGTCAATAGATTTTCCCCCATTTCTAATAACAAGAACATATAAAAACGACAGAGGGCGCACAGTGGGGTATTTGACACCGATAGTTGATCGAAATTTTTGTATGTAGCCCTTATATAAATTATTGCTATTTTCAGTTAAAGAGGAAATAATATGAACTAAATAAAGGATAATTCGTCGATTCTAAAAAAAAAGAAAGAAAAATCACTGTTCCAGTTTTTCCACGGTCAATGCCACTATGCCAGTAGTAATATCGCAACTAATACTACTAATGCTACGACTGATCCGCGACCAATTCCCATATCACTAATGCCGCTACTAATGCCAAATTGTGCTATACTGCTACTGGCACTAATGCAATCGCCTTGTACACAACAATGCCATCGCGGTATACATCTCTCGGTTTACATCTCTCGTATATCACTGATTTGCAAATTAGAGGAAACCAAGAATGTTTTTCTCATTTTATCGGCAAAGTCGCAAAAAGTCGCAGTATTTTATTTTACTGTATGAAATTCCAATGTTTACTAAGTAAAACGTATATAGACAATATGCTGAATTCTTCGAAATGCGCAACTAAATCTCTAAGTATAATAAAAATGTCACAAATTTAATCAAATTTTCTGAACGCCTAACTTTTAGTTGCAAAAAAATCGTTAGTATAGAGAATATCAAAATAAATAATATGGTTTTATAGAATACATAACTGCAGCTTGCTGAGCCATTTTCAATCAAAACAATAACATAAACGTAAAAGGAGCACAAGAACAACAATAATTTATAATTTTAAACATAAAATTTAGCCATTTACCTCTTATCTCTGAGAAGTAACAACTTTGACGTTTCCTTGAAACAAACGAATGCAACTAAACACACCCATTGCAACGCCATTCATGACAGACAGGATTTAACTTATCATTTATCTTTTTTTGGGAAATCTTAAACACATTTGCTTTTTCGAATTTCGATCACCTTTTTCATGCTAATACTCCACCGTGGGGCGGTTTGTTCTATCTCAATCGAAAAACTGATGGAGACTTTTGGATTTTGAGAATTGAAATGATTTACAAAGGAATCCGACTGTTTATCTACCATTCCAGATTATGAAACTATCGTCAATATATCGAAACCAGATTTTATGAATACATAGCTCTAGCATAAAAGTTCAGTAGTTTTGGGATCTATATTAGTATAAACTTGATAACGGTCATTGATACATCGTGATCGAAGTCCGAAATTTCTAATATTAGCAACAATACCAAAAAATGATATTTCTGTTTAGGTGAGATTATTCGACTTAAAGTTTCTGTAGTGGGTCGTCCGACGCCGTTGGTGTTCTGGAGTCACAACGGCGAATCAGTGCAAAACAGTGACCGACACGAAATCGAATTCGTGGACAAATCCACAGTGCTCAAAGTCAGCGAAGTCACCCGTCCAGATCGGGGAGAATACCTTATTAGAGCTGTCAACAAACTTGGAGAAGATTCAGCTTCGTTTCTTGTAACAGTAACAGATAAACCGTCACCTCCAGGTAAACCAATTGGTAACGTTCAGTTCTCTTTCATATGGGTGATTCGATTCTAGCTGAAATTTTTATGTCATTTAATTTTTCTATAAATACACATATGTATACAAACAAAGATATTAAAAAAGTAATAGTTGGAACAGGCTCATCCATATACCTCTAGGACTTTTTATATTATTTCTTTTGTTTTTAAGGTAAAGCTCGAGTTGTCATGGCTCTTGGAAGATCAGTTACTCTATCATGGACAACGCCTCAAGATGACGGTGGATGTAAAATCGGAAACTATATAGTTGAGTACTACAGGCTAGGATGGAACGTTTGGTTAAAAGCAGCTACAAGCCGACAACTAACCACAATTCTTGGAGATCTTATTGAAGGGAGTGAATATAAGTTCAGAGTTAAAGCAGAGAGCCCTTACGGTGTTAGTGACCCTAGTGAAGAATCTGAAGTTATATTTATACCTGATCCTAAACGAGGAATAACACAACCGCCATCCAGAGGTCGAAGTCAACCAAACGATTTCTTCGAAGAACCACAGTTACCTTTGCCAAATAAAAGAAAAAATAAGACACGATCTCAATCGTCTTCAAGGGCAGAACACCAGTCAACAATCCTAGAAAATAACATTGAACCACCTCAAAGACCGAAGAGAACCAAAACAAAAAGCCAGCCTCAAAGTCCTGAACCATCGCCGATGGTTCAAAGAAGAGAACCACCGTTCTCTCAAATAAACAAGGCTATTTTTGACAGAGCTTCTCTGGCAAGGGACTTAGCATACGGAAGTCCAGAAATAAAAATACAGAAAGAAAACGTATCGGTACATCAAGCAAAACCAGTAAATGTTCCAGCTTCTCTTGGGTCTGGGCAAGAATTTAATCCCGATCATGCAGTTTATAAAGTAAAAATTGAACCGTCACAAAATGAAGAAAAGGTGGAGAGCTCTAAGAAAGTTGTTAGTCCGGAAGTTAAGAAGAAATTGATAAGAGAGCACAGTGCTACCGTTTCGGGAAGTTCTGAGTTTATGTTGGTTTTATACTCCGATGAAAGTGAAAAAGGTAATTTGTTTTTGGAATTAAAACATTGTAGCTCTGAAGCTGTCATGCTAAATTATTTTATGTACTATCATACGATATTGAGAGTCTTATCTACTCATATGAAATGAGTTTAATGTGATATTGCTCGTGATATTGTATCCACTATACTAGTGAGATAAAATAACTTTATTTCACTCGTTAAATTTTGGCAACAATTTTTTAAATCTCTCTAGACTTCGCAGACCGTAAATGGGTAGTTGCATCTTGAACTGGCTCAAAAATTCCTGCAGGACAAAACCCATTATCATCTCTTGCATTTTTTCGTGGTTTAAAAAAAATCCTTACAAATTTCCTTTCAATACCTCCGAATTTTACTTTTGTCAAGCTTTTGTTAGTGTCAGTACTAAACAACACAGTTACCATAACAACAAACACTATCCTTAATTCTTAAAATTAAATTAACTTAATTTTTAAAACAAATGCTTGCTGCTAATTTTTCCCATCATATGATCATATATTCATAATTTTAACTACATACAGGGTGAGTTTCCTACGATGTTCTCTATGGGTATCTGGGAAACTACTGGAGATAGAGAGTCGGTTAAATGGGGAAAGAATTGCAGTTTTGTGGGATCATTAATATGCCCCTTTCGTATTTTTGAAAATGGCTTACTAGATATTTCGAAAAAAAAAATTCGGCTATTTTAAAAATGGCCCCGTATTCCATTATAATCGATTTTAGACAAAAAGTTTTCAGATAAAAGTTGTAGATAATCACATCTCTAATGAGCTTCTGTTTTTTGATTTTTTCGAAAGCATGTCATTTTTGACATATATGGCACAAACATGTTTTTTTTTTAAATGGAAACCATAGTTGGTCATAATTTCATACAAAGCGCAATTTTTAAGCTTTTCAGCGATATAAGCTATAATATGTTTTTTTTGAAAAATTACTGAGTTATAGACAATTCTTATCATTCTTGGCTAATTTCACCTAGTTGGTATGGTATTCTTATTCTGTTATGTTTTATAACTTACAAAAAGACAGAATATATTATTAACATTACACAAACTAAAACTTAACTCAAAAAATAATATTACTACATACACTTTAAGTTATTTTAGGAAATGTTCAAAAAATCCGCCATTGTTTTGAGTACATAAATGCATCTTTTTAAAACTGAATTACTAGCTATTCTCACAGAACGACTGGTCGATTTAATTAAATTTCTCCCGTACTGCCAGTGCCTCTCTTAATCCTTATGTTCTTTTGTAAACCTTGTCGTAAACCATACCACATAAAAAAATCTAAAACGGATAGATCAGGTGATCGAAGAGGTCCATGCAATTGGTCCACTTCTTCCTATCTCGAAGTGTGCATAATTATGATTTATGATATAAATAATTTTTAACATTTGTTTTATTATGGGGGGGGGGTGTCATAATGAAAGTCATATTGGAACCACTCTATTGATGCGCGAGTATCTAAATTTAACTTTTCTAACAAGTCTTGAAATCCGTTGTCTAAAAACGTATGTAAGTAACGTTCACCGATCAACGTATACCCTCGAAAATGTATGGCCAAAAAAAGTTGAACCAATAATCCTACACGCTTTTCTTCATTTGAAAAATTCATATTTACAATTTTTGTTTATTTTAATTTACAAAGTTTGGATGTGACAGTTTCACATTTCTAAGAGCAACGACGATTGAACTTGTTTCCATGGCTAACTAAGTGAAGTTGTTTAAAAATGATAAGAATTGGCTATAACTCAGTAATTTTTCAAAAAAAACATATTATAGCTTATACCACTAAAAAGCTTAAAAATAGCGCTTTTTATGAAGTCATAGCCAACTATTAAAAAACACACCCAACCGTTTAAAAAAACATATGTGAAAAATGACAGGCTTTAGAAAAAAATGGAGGACATAATCCCATTAAGGATGTGATTATCTACAACTTTTATATAAAAACTTTTTGTCTAAAATAGATTATAATAGAATTAGGGACAATTTTTAAAATGGCCGAAATTTGTTTTTTTCGAAATATCTAGTAAGCCATGAACTTTTTCAAAAATCTGAAAGACGCATATTTATGACTCCACAAAACTGCAATTCTATCCCCATTAAACCGACTCTCTATCTCCAGTAGTTTCCGAGATACCCATAGAGAACATCGTAGAAAACTTACCCTGTATATAATATATTTTTGTGGATAAAACGTTGTATTACATTCATATTTTACTTGCATTTTATCCACAATGCTTCCCTAACACTAGCTGTGTTAATAATAACTATTATGAAATTATTTCAGATCGGACAGATATTTTCAACTTCCACGAAAACTCTATTCCTCCACCACTGTCCCTATCCGCACCAGAACTCAGCGGCTTAGAAGAGCTTCAATTCTTACCCCTAAAGAATTCAGCAAGTTCCACTGAACTCTTACACGAACGCGCCATTATGCGCTTCTACCAAGCAGCTGAAGAAGAGGAAAAAGAATTGGAACGCATAAGAAACAGCAACCCTGAAAAGAGCCTTGCACTAGAAATCCCTAGAATCCAAATAAATTCCAAAGACAGTGATGATATTGTAGGTCTAGATCGCAGACATTCATTGAGAAGAAAGATGTCGGCTGGTAGTGTAAGTCAGCAAGCTAAGTGGGCTCAGAAACGACATAGCCTGAAGAATTCTTCAGAACTTTCAGAAGACTTAATACCACACAACCTAAAAAAAGCTCCTGTTTCAGAGAACATGAAACGTGACTTAATACTGAATCAGTCAGCTTTATCAGATGAAGAGGTTTCAGATTTCAAAAAGAAACAAATACCTGCAAGATTGTATTCTCAAAATAGCTTCGAACGCAAACCAGTTACTATAGAAGAAGAAGAACGATGGATGGAGGAATACGAAGAAAGCATGTCAGAAAGTGAAAGCGGTTCTGAATCTGAGGTTGAAAGATTCAAGTTTGAGGTTAGTCGAAGCAGAAAGGTACAGCTTGACGAAAGCATAGCTGATGAAGATATCACATACCGCCCAGCAGGAGGACTTGGCAACTTAAGAAAGTTCAGTAATGAACCTTTCGAAATTCTATCCACACCCAAGGATTTACCAGATCCTAACTTCATTCCGAAGCCAATTTTAAAAAATTCTCCATCAATGTCACCTACGGTATCTCCCCCGTTGTCTCCAACAAAAGTTGCTAGAGCATTATCACCTAGACCTGATGTTGTACTTCAAAGAAACAGGTCCAAGTCTTTGGCTGTACCTGCTTTACCACCACTGATATCTGCCTCTTCTGGAGACGAAAGTGATGAACCTAAGAAACCTAGAAGCCGGTCCTCGTCTTTAACTTTAACTAACTTATGGGAACACACCAAAGAGCTTTCCAAACCTAAACCAATTAAAAAAGCTCCTACTGCAAAACTACCCAATATATCTGCTGTAGCTGAAATTTCAGGCATTACAGCGGCTAGTATCGTCATACCAGACAACCTACTTAGTAAAAAGAAAGACGAGGAAGCTACTAGAGTTGTAGCTGACCATTACGATAGCATAGTCAAGAGTGTCGGTCAAAGAAGGAAAAGTAACCCCCAAATTTACTTAGATAGAGATTCTTTAAAGAGAGTTGCAGAGGAAATGGAAACTCCTCAAGAAGAACTTCCTAGTAGTAAAGAAGAGACCCCTTCAAAAGAAAATCTTAGTCAAGATAGTGGGTATCAGAGTGTGTCTGGTTATAGAAGAAGCAGCTTTACTGATCACTATGATACTTTTCCTATTGTTAGTAGAAGTCCTAACAGGAAAACAAGCCTAGAAACTAGCGTGTTTTATAGAAATCAAGAACAAAATATTCGTCGAAATAGTTTAACTGAATATAGCTTAGAATTTCTGCCAAATCAACAAAAATACAGTGTTTTTACCCCTCCAAGTCCTAATAAAGAACAAAATACAAGAAAGGACAGTTTAACTGGAATTTATGTTCCAAAGAAGTCAGAGAGTACAATAAAAGACAGTGAATCAGTTATCGCAAACAAAGAAACGAACCAATTTAGAAGAAACAGTCAAACTAAGAATATGGGAGTCCAATTAACAAACTTTGATAGTCACCAAGGCAGAAATACTTTGCCTAAGGGCAGAAGATCCGTCAGTCGTTCGAAATCTCCTTCCAAAAGGGGTACAAGTGTTTCTAGACGCCAGGTAGGATTGTCTCCTGCAAGGCCAGAAAACTGGAGTGGTATGACACATGCTGAAGGATTCACAAGGCCCAAAAGATCATCTCCATCTCCGATGAGAAGGACTATGCGCGCTCAAAGAGACTCAAAGTGTCCGTCTCCTCAACCAAGGCGTGCGCCAATGCTCAAGGAAATTACTACTCAAACTTCTGGATTTCTTGAGTCGTTTTCTCAAGAATTCGCCCATTCTAGTGAGAAATTGAAAAGGGAGCTTGAGACAAGGGCAGAAATACAAGTAAGGAGTGCTGTGGATTGGCTGACTGATTTGGCTATGTTTATAGTAGCTTCTTGGTTCTATTTGTTTAGTAATGAACTTTTGGCAATACCGATACTTTTAGTTATGGTTTACAGACAGCTCAAAGAAGAAATAAGAAAACGAATACCGGAATGGATGGCAAAAAGATTTAGAAAAAAGAATTAAAAATATTATTCAGTTATACTCTTAGTCATAATACAATATTTTATAATCGAATAAAAAAAACGGCGTCAGCGATGGCTATGAAATGAAGATCGCTGTCATTTTATATGTAAAATTATATGGGAAATGTCATTGACCGTCATTTCGAAGCCATATATATTAATATTTTTTGAGGAAAACAAATAAGATTTTGTGAGGTTTTTGTGCCTATTTAAAAATAACGAATTAAAATATTTTTGTGTTTAATATAACACAGTTATTTGTTGAATGGAATCTATGATTCTTCTATTTAATTGTTGTTTTTAAGTGTAAATATTCTTTAAAGTGATATAGAAACATGTAATATATATATTTTAAGATAAATATATAGCTTTATTTCTTCTAAACCCAATCAATACTTTTTCAAAATTATAAGTTTACTTGTATTTTAAAGAATAGAGAAATACAATTGACATAAGCCCTGTTTTATTTTTTTTATTAAATATTGCGAAGTCAAACGCAGTAGAATTAAACTAGAATATACTGCTATCTTTAAACAGGCCTTTGCAATCTCAAACACTACTATTGAATTTAGGTAAATTCTTAGGTTAAGTTGGGAAACTAAGCTTCAACTTCGCCATTTGTGATTTTTTATAAACTTCGCAATTAAGTATTTAATAACAAAAAATACTTTGTTGTATCTTTGGAGTATTTTAAATAGTAACAAACACAGTGGCAGTATATTTTTTTAACCTGTACAGGGTGGGTCAATTTGGACGCTTTTAAAGGGAAACACCCTTTTCTATAGGAGATAGATGAAAACATGTCGTTGCCTGCGCTCATTTTTTTATCAAAAACATGATGGTGAAAACCGCACATCGATATCGGTTACCGTTTCGAAATTACGGGGTGTTTTTCAAAAATGTGCATTTTTAACAAAACGCTATAATTTTTTTGTTATGGAAAATTTAGTATTTCTATGAAAACATTTCCAAAGCAACTTTTTACGTAGAATTTAATGGTTTAAGTATATTTTTTTTTAAATTAATAATTTAAGGGTTATCAACAGAAAAATTGATTTTTTTACTTGGGACAACCTGTATATTTTTAATTAACTGGAAAGAACATAAAATTATCTTTCTAAAAATATATAGCACACTTGATATTTTGTTATAGTCCCCTTTGAAATACAGAATTTTTAAAAGTTCGCCACTTTTAATCAGTGGGCTTTGGACCCCTTATTGATGATCTGCCCCTAATGGAACTCGAAAATATATTTTTCCAGCAAGACGAGACACCGCCACAGAACGCTGAAGTTATAGCAAATTTTGCAGCCAATTTCGAGAATAATTTAGTAGCTAACCAAGATCCCAGCCGTTGACCGTCTAGGCCACCGAACTTAGCGCCTATGGATTTTTATCTTTGAGGAAGAATAAAGGTTCTTATTTTTATATTGCCTGGTAATCTAGACAAGAAGTACTTTGCGGCTATGCGAGGGTACCTTTCACCCCTACTAAGTTAATGAATTCCGCGATAAATATTCGAAAACGGTCCCGTCTGTCCATAACAGAAGACGGTTGATATGTCGAACACCTGTAGCAAAATCTCATGTCTTGGTTTGCTATTTATTTTTATAGTTTTATTAGATATAGTTTAAATGTATTGATGTATGAAATATAGTTTAAATCTTTATAAAATTCTGCATCTCTCATTGCAAATATTATTTTCGTTTTAATTGCTGCTCATAGCTAGATTTTTTTTGCATTACAGCCGGCGCCGTTCAAAGCCTATACAGGGTGTCCCAGAAATGAGTGCAAATATTTTAACTGGTAGTATAGTTCAACCCCAGAAACACGCCTATGAGTTTTTTTTTGCGAAAAAACAATGTTGAAAATTTTATGTTTTTCTTGACATTTTCCAGAAAATTTTGAAAAACTTTTGAGTGCCACTGTTCACCCTCCGGAAATTCGTTTACCGTGCATAGAGAGAATCTGGGAGAGAATGCAATGTTGCCACTTCCTATCATACCCACATTCGAAATGTTTATAAATTCACAGTAATAATTTTAATGGGCTACAACATAGTGGTAATCATAATCATAATTTTTGTCTTAAGCATAAGCACAGTCACAATCACAATTTTAATATGCGCTTTACAACATAGTCGCATAACTTGGAATGTAAATACAGCTGATAAAGTAACCTAATTTTCGTATTTTTCTATTTCATAATCAGTTTAGAAGTGTATTTTTGTTTAAATTTTATTACTCAGGTTTTTTAAACACGAAAATTATCATAATTATTAAACATAAAAATGAAAAAAAAAAATAATGCCCCCTAACCGATTTTTGTCGTAATCACAATCAAAAAAGTTAAAATTTACGAACTTCAAGGTTATTAAATTATGTTTATGATTACGACTGCGATGTATAAACGGGCGTATCTAAAATAATGGTTTTAACTGTTATGATTGTGACTAAAATTGTGATTATGATTACGATTATTATACCAAACTAAATCTATCCATATTAGTGGACATTGCTAACACTAATTTTAGGAAAATGCGCAATGTTTTAAGTACTTTTTACAGTTGAGTAGGCAGAAAAAATAAATTATAAGAGCTTCTTTTTTCGCCATATTAGGAATTTTTTTCAATCGTTTCAATCAACAATTATAATCTTTAAATATTAAGTTAGGGCTTACCCTTTTGATGAAAATTGATCAGTATTTTTATCCAACATATACCATTACACATACACCCCAAATATCTAATAATCTGAACATCACAAATCTATCACTTGCAAAATATTATTTAAAATGTTTCACATTAAACACTAAACTTACAAATACAACAAAAAGTGTTAAAAAACTTGCTTTATAATAACTACTTAAAACCTCTACTGAAATCTCCCACAAAAGAAAATTAATGATTTTACAACAAAAGTGCCAAAACTTTACGCGATACACGCACGATACACGAATATACGTACAACATACGTTGATTTTGGTTTGTTTACATTCTTTAAATGATTTTGGGAACCCCCGAGAAATCGTAAATACCGTTAAGAGCAGTAGGGCCCTCTACCGCTCCCGTCTAATACGACTTGCCTTGCGCGCCACAGTGCCGATTGCCCGTTCACAAAAAAGCTTAATCCGTTATTCTATAGATGTCGCTGGGTGATCGATTTGAGTTAAATTTTGGTTTGATTAATAAATAAGATTTGTGATCTGCACGTTCGACTATCAGAAATCGTTCTAATGGTATCGAGCTTTTAAAACTTCAGAAAGTTATCGGCGATTGTCTTTAAAATGTTCGTTAGTGCATATTTTTATGTCGGTAATCGGTATAGGTATCGGTAAATCGCGATGGCCTATACAAATCCGAAGAAGGTGGATATGCTTCTAAACTCTACCTAAAGTGTGAATTTTGCACACTTCCTCCTGGCACGTGAAGGGGCTCAGTAAAAGAATTTCGGACTTCCATTGTCTTTATTTATTTTGATTAACCCAACATTTCGGTCAGAAAGATCGCTTACTATTATCAAGTGTAAACTCTGTCAGTTGTAAGTATGGTTCAGTATTTGAGGGACTTTGGAAGTTTGGATCCTCAGGTGGCATCAAAGTTCTAGTGTTGTTAAGAATTGTAGTCAAGTTAAGTGTAGTGTTAAGGGCAGTCTTAGGACTGGTAAAATTAAAAAAACAGAAAGCTTTGCAATAATATCGATCTTCTATTGGGATATTTTTTAATGTTTGGTAAGTTTTTTTTTTAATTTAATTTGGGAAATGTGAGAAGTATGGCTACTGGCGATCATCCACTTAGTGTTATGGAATTTTGCAAGTAGTTTTTAAGACATTCTAGTCGCGGCAACAGCGGGCGGCGAATAAGGTGAGATCCGGGAAATTGCCGATTTCCCCCGGCGGCTCTCAAAATGTGGCAATTTATTTTTAAAACTTTCAAAGTGAAATAACTCGGTTATTTTCAATTTATTTTAAAAATAGTAAAAAGAAAATATGTTTCTTTCGACCAGATCTACCACCCCTTAAAATATTTGCACTCATTTCTGGGACACCCTGTATATACTTATTCAAAGAGAGCGAATTTTTATAAACTCTATATCTCGAAGAGGAATTGAACAAAATATCAAGTGCACTATATTTTTGGAACGGCAATTTTAAATTATTTTTAATGAATTAAAAAAATACAGGGCGTACCATATAACAAATTTTCTGTTGATAATTCTTAAATTATTAATTTTAAAAAAATTATACTTAAACCATTAAATTCTACGTAAAAAGGTGCATTGGAAATATTTTTATAAAAATACAAAATTTTCCATAACAAAAAAGTTACAGCGATTTATTAAAAATGCACATTTTCGAAAAACACCCTATAACTCCGAAACGGTAACAGATATCGATGTGCGGTTTACACCATCATGTTTATGATAAACATAAATATATCCTGTAGAAAAGGGTATTTCCCTTTAAATGGTCCAATTTGACCCACCCTGTACATTTAATATTTGAAAAATCTTTTTTATAACTATATTAAATATTTATTAGTAATACTGTAGTAAGTATAGTATTATAATCTTTAAATTAAACGATTATGAATGGGCCGTATCAACAAACTTATATGGAGCCAGATGAGGTTACTAAGTCTAGGTTAAATTCCGGTTTATCAGTGCCGCTCAGGGCCGGCGGAAGGGCCGGGCGACCCGGGCGGCCGCCCGGGGCGCATGTGGCATATTTGTAGGTTGCACACAGATTATTCATTCGGAATTAGTCGGGTCTGCTGCACAGGTCTGCTGCGATTCGGTGGTATGTAAGTTATACTCGGGAGAGCATTTTCTTGGATAAAGCGAGTGTAACATACAGAGTAGCGTAGGCGTTATTATGAATAATTATGATTTGTGAATTGATGACTTATATGGGTATTGTCTATATTATATTTTCCAACCCTTTTAACGATATAGCATGGGAGCAAAAATAAATTATATATGTGAATGAATAGGCATACTGATTCAAAATTTCGGAAATCGGAATAAAGAATACCGATACTCTAGAAGATCGATATCTATCGCCCAACATTACCTAAACATAAACTTAATTTTTACAAGTGCTTTATAACTAAGTTTATAACTAGGACCATAGACGCGGCTATTAGTATTTTTTATTATCGTTTTTTAAAATCGAGTGTTCCGTTTCATTTCTGCAACAGTGTATATAGTTTGTTTCCTCCTTATAGTATTCCTAGATAAAGAGGATTCTAG